CTGGACTTGAATGACCAATATTATTATTATTATTATTATTATTGAGACATAATCTCACTCTGTTGACCTGAATAGAATGTTGTGGTGTCATAGCTCATAGCAACCTCAAATTCGTGGGCTTAAGAGATCCTCTTATTTCAGCCTCCCCAGTAACTGGGACTATAGGTGCCCACCACAATGACCAGATTGTTTTTTCTATTTTTAGCAGAAATGGGGTCTTGCTCTTGCTCAGGGTGGTCTCAAACTCCTGAGTTCAGGCAATCCACCAACCTTGGCCTACAAGAATGGTAGGATTACAGACATGAGCCATTACTCCAGGTATACTTGAGTGACCCTTTAGATCAAATGAATCTAAAGACATAGAAGACACAGAAGATTTAACCCAACAGCAGCAGAATACACATTCTGCTTTAGCAAAGACAGAACAAACATACTCCAGGAAAAGCAACACCAACTCTTAACAAGTTTAAGATGACTGAAATCATATCAAGTATCTTGTCTGACCACAACAGTAAGAAACTAGAAATTAGTGGAGGAGGGAAACTGAAAAATTTGGAAATATGAGGAAATGAAAGAACACATCCATGAAAACCAATATATCAAAAAAAGAAATTAAAAAATACCTTGAGACAAACAAAAATGGAAACACAACATAAGAAAATTTATGGGATGTAGCAAAAACAGTTTGAACATGAAAGTTTATAGTGGTAAACATCTACACGAACAAAAAAGGAAGCTCTCAGATAAAGTTTAACTGTTACATCAAAAAATAAAAAAAGAAGAAAGAAGCTCAATGTTAGCAAAAAGAAGGGAAAAAATAAAGATCAGGGCAGACATAAATAAAACAGGGATAAAAAATAGGAAAAAAAACAATAAAACTAAGAGATGGTGTTGTGAAAAGATAAATAAAATTTACAAACCTTTAGCTAGCTAACTATGGCTGAACCTCCTTATCCACAGGCTCCACATTCAGGAATTCAAACAATAGCATTTTCAACAGGCTTTGTTGATGCATGGTTGCTTGAATCTCCAGATGTGGAACTCGTAAGTATGGAAGGCTGACTGAAGAACTCGAGCAGCTTCAGATTTTAGTATCTACAGAAAAATCAGACATCTAGACCAATGGAACAAAATAGAAAGCCCAGAAATAAATCCACACGTACACAGTCAATGAATCTTTGACAAAGGGACCAAGAATACATAATAGGAAAAAGAAAGTCTCCTCCATATGTGATGCTGTGATAAGTGGGCATCCACATAAAAAAAAAAAAGAATCCTTACACCACATACAAAAATTAACTCAAAATGGATTAAACAAATGATCTAAAACCACAACACTCCTAGAAGAAACACAGACATTTGTCTTAGCAATGATTTTTTTTTTTCCTCATGCTACCTTGTCTAAGATTGACAATGACTTTTTGGCTACAACACTAAAAGTGCAGATAACAAAAGCAACAATAAACCAGTGGACTATATCAAACTAAAAAGTTTCTGCATAACAAAGGAAACAATCAACAAAATGAAAAGGAAACTTACAGACTTAAAGGGAAACTTATAGACTACTGAAAAAAATATTGTTAAGTCATATATCCAATAAGGGAACAGTATCCAAAATATAAAAGGAACTCACCCAACACAACAGACCCCCCAAAGCAATAATCCTATTAAAAATGGGCAAAGCCAAGAATGGATTAATAAATTGTGGTATATGTACACCATGGAATATTATGCAGCCTTAAAGAAAGATGGAGACTTTACCTCTTTCATGTTTACATGAATGGAGTTGGAACATATTCTTCTTAGCAAAGTATCTCAAGAATGGAAGAAAAAGTATCCAATGTACTCAGCCCTACTATGAAACCAATTTTATAGCTTTCATATGAAAGCTATAACCCTATTATACCCCAAGAAGAAGGGGAAAGAGGAGAGGGAGGGGAGGGGGGGAGGAGGATGGGTGGAGGGAGAGTAATTGGTGGGACCACACCTACAGTGCATCTTAGAAGGGTACATGTGAAATTAACTAAGTGTAGAATATAAATGTCTTAACACAATAACTAAGAAAATGCCATGAAGGCTATGTTAACTAGTTCTATGAAAATATTTCAAAATGTATATAAAACCAGCACATTGTACCCCATGACTGCACTAATGCACACAGCTATGATTTAATAAAAAACAAAAATGGGCAAAGGACCTGAATAGACATTGTTAAAGGGAAAACATGGAAATGGCCAATACATAGATTAAAAAGTGTTCAACATCAGTAATCGGGGAAAGTCAAAACCACCATGTGATATCACCTCCCATATTTAGGGTGGCTGTTATCAAAAAGTGAAAAGTTTAGTGTAGGGAAGAATGTGGAGAAAAGAGAATTTTTATACATTGTTGGTGAGAAAGTAAATCAGTACAGCGAGTATAGAAACCAGTTAAAAATATAACTGTATGTGGCTGAGCTATCCCACTTCTCAATACATACCCAAAGGAAATGAAATCAGTCTGTTGGAGATATCTGTGCTTCCAAGTTCATTACAGCATCATTCACAATAGTCAAGACAGAGAATCAATCTAAGTGCCCACTGACAGATAAATGTGAAGAGTTGAGATACACACACAAACACACACAGAGAATACTTGTATTATTCAGCTTTATAAAAGAAAATGCTGCCATCTGCAACAACATGGATGAACCTAGAGGACGATATATTAAATAAGCCAGACACAGAAAGAGAAATACTGCATGATCACATTTATATGTAGAATCTTAAAAAGTCAAACTCATACAACCGCTGAGTAGAGAATGGGGGGATGGTGGTCAAAGGGTGAAAACATTCAGCTGTAAGGTAAATAAGCTCCGGACACCTACTGTACATCATGTTGCCTATAATGATAATGTACTACTGTATACCTAAATTTGCTAAGAGAGTAGATCTAAAGTTTTCTCACCACACAAAAAATATAAGAACTACATGAGGTAATAGATATGTTAATTAGCTTGATGTAGTAATTGTCATACTTGCACAAAACATCATACTGTCATTACAAAGTCCCAAAGCTGAAGGTGCGGGCACAGATGTGTATGGGAGGACACTTTACACTGTTGGTGGGACTGCAAACTAATCCAGCCCCTTTGGAAAGAAGTACGGAGAATCCTCAAAGAACTCAAATTAGACCTCCCATTTAACCCCACAATCCTACTACTAGGCATCTACGAAGAAGAAAAAAAATCATTTTATCATCAGGACATTTGCACTAGATTATTTATCACAGCATAATTTATCTCACCAAGATGTGGAAACAACGTAAATGCCCATCAACTCAAAAATGGATTAACAAATTGTGGTATATGCATACCCTGGAATACTATTCAGCCATAAAAAGATGGTGACTTCACATCTTTTGTATTAACCTGGACGGAGGTGAAACACATTCTTCTTAGTAAAGTATCACAAGAATGGAAAAGCAATTACCCAATGTACTCAATACCAGTATGAACCCAGTAGACAATCTAATGCATGCCCACATATGAAAAAAACTCTTTTCAATTCAAGTTGGGGGGAGGGCTAATAAAGAAAGGGGTGAAGGAAGGGGAGTAGGGTGTTCCCACTGAATGGGCATGGTGTGGGAGTGTTTGGCACACCTTTTGAGAGAGGGACCTAACCACAAAAGGGACTCTAGCTAACAACATCAAATATGTTGACGTGGTTGTTTGTACCCTCGCATTAATCTGAAATAAAAGAAAAAAACTCAAATTGTATACTTTAAATATATGCAATTTTTGTTTGCTAATTATACCCCAATAAAGCTAGAAAAATTTGATGATAAATTTTCCTACAAATGGTGACCACTTGAGGAAAAATACTAAGATGAATCCCTGCCTCCCTCTACCACAAAATAAATTCCAGATACACAAAGGCAAAGACTGGACGTCCTTTATCAACTTGGTTAACGAACTGACCTATGTAACAGGGATCTCATACACTCTGGAATGAACCTGGAGGCTTGTAAGCAGCATGTTACTTTCCTTGTTTCTCACAATCCCAAATACATTATCTGACCACAAATTTAACAGAGTATATCAAATAACTTAAACCAAGACAAAAAATTTTGCAAGCAGCTTCTACAGCCTCAAAAAACATTATTTAGTTACAAATATTACAACATTTCTAACAACTAAAATTTAATGAGTACTACGGGCCAATGTTGAAGGCATTACCCAATCTTGCCTGTGTTTTTAAGAGCTGTGTGAATTACAGCTACATCAAATATCGGCAAGTGTCAAGAATAGTAACAGCAAACATGTGTGGAGCATTTATCATGGGTGGCTATTCAGGGGTGTCCAGCTGGAGGCCCACAGGCCTCATGCTGTTTTTATGGGGACTTTTTTGCTTATCTGTGGTGTTGGATATCACAAAAATTATGCATAGACCTTTTCTTTGCCTATGATAATTTGGACACAATCGACTTCTGTTCATGTTTGTCTATTTACTGTGTGGTCCAAGACAGCTCTTCTTCCAATGTTCAATAGAGAAGAACAAATGTTAAACACTCACTGAACACCCCCGTAAACGCTTTATCTTCCATAATTACCATAAATGCCTTATGAAATACGCAGATTATTCTCATTTTACAGGATAACACAGTGAGACATAGCAAAGTTAAATAACAAGAACTTGATCACAGCATAAGTGGCAACTCAGATCAAGATACAAATCCAGGTTTTAAAATCAACTGCTTGACACATGTATATATGTAATGTCCCAATACAACATGGACATTCAGAAAATTAGTAAATGTGTAAGATTTGGGGACGATGACTGGAATATGAGCAATATCATACTCCAATAAAAGGATAAAAAATTTTAATGAGACTACATATTACGTCAATATTAAAATATGAATGAATAATACAAACAATTCCCTTGCTGTTAAGCTTTTAGTGAAACCCCAAATTAATTGTCTAAGTAACTGCAGACTACGTTAGGGGGCTTTAACAGTACCTGGTGATTTGGGGGTTAACACTGGCCACACAGCCAACCACCACTTCCTTGTTGAATGCATCTTTACAGACGTCAATACCGACCACCATCAGGGACTTCAGCTATAAAATTAAAATTGTCTTCATTTAATGGGGTGAGGAATAATTTCCCCAATGATTTAATATAAATCTTTTTAAAAACTTCTTCCAGTTACTAAATTATTTAAATTAAGTTAAGAGAGAGATCAAGCTCCAGGTGAGGCAGATTGTTAAACCAGAAACCAGAAAGACTTAAAGGTCGAGGAAAACTCTGGGACATACTCGGCTTAAGAGACTCACATCATCCAAAATACCCAGCATCCTTTGTGTGGGTTGGCAAGAGGCTCCAGGGGCTAAAGAGATTCTGGGAACCTAATCAATCCATTCCTCCTTGCCTCTGGCCTCTGGTCTGAAAAATTTGTAGAGGAATTCCGTCCCCACCCTTCAGCCCTCTAAGGAAGCAGTGGGTGCTGTGCACCTCCACCCCTGGGGGAGGCAGAGGAACCACATGCATCCTGATTATACACATATGTGGGGCACCATGAAGATTGTGAGATACGTGAAAATCAAAAAACCTAAAATCCACACAGATGGAAACAAGTGAAGCCTTCCCAGCAACACCGACAAGGCAGCAAGTTGAAATGTCCATGGGTGAATCAGAAAGGCCGCCTTGGACTGTGTTCCTCAGTAGACCCTAACACAGTCTATCTCAAAAGTTTCATAGTGACCTACACATAAGAAATGGGCAACCTTTCCTCATTTCATATTTCCTCACTTCCTCCCATGGTGGCTACAGTACATTTAGGAAAAAGAAGAGGATTTTCTAAGTTCCCACCACAGATTCAGATCATAGGCTGTGTCAGTTTCCAGAGCTCTCGGAAGCCCCACCTAGGACACCAGGCTGCTCTGAGAGTGAGGCCCCTCCTGAAAGCTGGCAAAGCTGGACACCATGGAGCACAGACTTTAACAGAAGCTGAGGAGATACAAACCAAGTCTCTGTAAGTCTCCTCCAAACTCGATTCTCTTCCATGAACTATTCTAAGTTAGCAGCTTAACTGAAGGTCCCTGAGAAGAGTGGCTGTGCCTCATCTTTTGGAGGTCCAATGGTTATGGGACACCAGAACCCAGGATAAAAGCTCAACCAACCAACCGAGGAATTCTGGGATCATGTGATACCACCTTTAACTTGGCTTTAATTTTAAAAACTGACTGCTTGTTAAATGGAAAAGTGCAACAGGATCCTCACAGGTATCTCCACGGCCCACAGCTCGCCTCCGAGTTTACAGGTGATCTGCATGGCGATCTTGGTGGCAATGCTCATCATCATTCCCTGTTTATTCAAGGTCCGCGCAAGAACACACTGGCTTGGGACTGGACAGTCCCAGCTCAGATATTTTTTAATGGAATCATAATAGTTCTTCTGATTAGAAGGTAGAATGCACATCACCTAAAAGAAAAACACACACACAGCAGATGATTTTAGAAATTTATTTACTTAGGCTTACAAGTAGCTTTTTGAAAAAAACAAATACATAGATTCTGCCAATATCTTCTGTCCCTAAGTTCCCAAGAAGCAAATACTCAAATGACCATCAAACCACTGAAAAGTTCATCACCACCTGAAGTGCCTTTTCAGCAGCCGCTGACTCTGCAGAGCCCCACCCACACCTGTCCAGCTCCTCCACTCCCTTCCTCTGTGTTTCTTGCTGAGCTCCTTCTCCAGCTGTTTCTGCTTCCCATCCCGCTCCCCCTGCCCCTTCCTACCCTTTTCTAGCCCTCATGCCCACTGTCCTCTCCCTCAACCCCCCCACAGATAAACAAAGTAGAGAATTAGCTTAACCTGTGGAGCTTTTCCCATCAAGTATAAGATAATCAAAATAAAGAAAACAAACAAAAACGACTTTTCTTTCTTTTTTACTGGAAGTTGAAAGTAGAAATATGGGGGGAGGATAAGAATAAAGAAGGTTCTGGCCCCTGGTGTTTTTAATTCTACCCATCTCTGTCACTCTCTGCACTTATCAGCTGTTCCCTACACTGCAAGGCCTCACCTCTACCTCCTACCCATCCTTTAGTCTCTATCTTCAAAATTCCCAAATTGTTTTTTGTGTTTTTTTTTTGAGACAGAGTCTCATTATGTCACCCTGGATAGAGTGCTGTGGTGTCATAGCCCATAGCAATCTCAAACTCTTGGGCTTAAGTGATTCTCTTCCCTCAGCTTCCCAAGTAGCTGGGACAACAAGTGCTCACCACAACACCCAGCTATTTTCTTGTTGCAGTTATTATTGTTGTTTAGCTTGCCCATGCCACGCTCGAACCCGCCAGCCTCAGTGCATGTGGCTGCTGCTGTAACCACTGTCCTATGGGTGCTGAGCCAAAACTCCCAAATTGTTAATAGGCAATGCCATGATTAGGAAAACAAACAAACAAACAAGTTTTCCAACTCATACGATTATTATTATTTTTTTTTTGAGACAGTCTTACTTTGTCACCCTCGGTAGAGTGCTATGGCATCACAGCTCACAGCAACCTCCAACTCTTAGGCTTAGGTGATTCTCTTGCCTCAGTCTCCCAAGTAGCTGGGACTACAGATGCCCGCCACAATGCCCGGCTATTTTTTGTTGCAGTTATCACTGTTTTAGCTGGCAAGGGCCAAATTCAAACCCACCACCCTAAGCATATGGGGCTGGCGCCCTGCCCATTGAGCCACAGGCACCGCCCCCAACTCATATGATTAAAGTTATAATGACAGGGGCTAAAATTATTTACACTTAATTATATAAAATAGACAAAAATACTTCTATATTATCAGCAAAATTCTAAAAGTGAAAAGCCTTCCTTCCATCCCATGAGTTTGGCCCCAAACAAGGAAGGTGGCAGAACAAGTCAGTGTCCCAGTGGGAGCCAGGGCTGACAGCAGATGGCAGCCAAAGGATACGGGCTACACACAGGGTCTGGAGCAGTAAACACACAAGGGGAGGGTAACAGGAGCCACGTGACAGGCACACATTTCCTAGCTCTGCCCACTGAGAAAGCCTGGGGGCAGCAACATCCATTTAGCAAATGAGCAGGCCAACAGCCCAAATATTGGTTTCTAAATATTATTTTCTGCCAAAAGGAATCAAGGACTCTGGTGAGAAATATCTGATTACAGAGTTAAAAAGCAAACTACAAAATAAGCCTTAAATGTCTTATTTTACCAAAAAATAAGGAAGCATCCCATCCAAGAAAGGTGGAGACATATGAAAAAGGCACTGAGGTCAGCTTGAACAGGGCTCCCACTGTCAATGTCAAGGACAAGATGAGGAGCACCGAAACAAACAATGAGAGCAACAGAAAGAAGGACAGGGAGGCAGACAAACGAGTGGCTCAGGAAAGGTATTTTTCTTTAGAAGCACAGAATTTATAGGAAAACCTCACTGCAAATAAAATTTGTTTTCCTCCCACTAAATAAAATACAAATCCGTAAGTGCATACTGATACCAACTAATGAACAAATGGGGCCTGTTGCTGGGCCACTCCTGAGTGTGGAAGCTGGGTGGAATCATCATGTGTCAACCATCACAGTAAGAATGGATTCTGGGCAAGAATTATAACGGATCCTCAGACTAAGGCGTAAATGTTTGATGAGGAAAAGGATACTTCTCTAGTCTCAAGGCACACACACACACACACACAAAAAACTGATTAAAAAGCGCAACTTTATGGTGAGGGGAAAGGATACTTCTCTAGTCTCAAAGCACATGCAGACACACACAAAAAAAGTGATTAAAAAGTGAAACTTTATGGTGAGGGGAAAGGATACTTCTCTAGTCTCAAAGCACATACACACACACAAAAAAAACTGATTAAAAAGCGCAACTTTATGGTGGAGGAAAAAGATACTTCTCTAGTCTCAAAGCACATACACAGACACAAAAAAACTGATTAAAAAGCGCAACTTTACGGCGGGGGCGTCTAACAGATGCTCCTTAATTGGTGGAGTACCACAAGGTGGAACTCAATAAGGACACAGGATCACTGCTGTGACACTCTCCCCAAACGTGCAAAGCCTGAACTTAACAAACCCAAACTGAGGGACATTAGACAATGTAATAGGTCTGTAGTTTGGAAAGTCATCGCAACCACAGGAAATCTAAGGAACAGTGTCAGACTAAAGGAGAGACGACCGAGATGAACAACTAAGTACATCACATTAGATCCCTGTCCTCCAGAGCACACTGGTGGGGCAGATGGGGAAGCTGCTTCCTGACTGTGATAGCTGTCCTATGGCTCTGTAAGAGGGGACCTTGCTTATAGAAAATGTGCACTAAAGAATCCAAGGACAATGGGGTATCATATCTGTAACTTAACTCTCAAATGGATCAAGGAAAACAAAATACAGGAAATAATGAAGCAAATACTACAAAATGTCAGTAATGATGGATTCTGGGTGAAGGATATACAAGAGTCCTTTGTAGTATTCTTGCAGCCTTACTGTAAGTTTGAATTTTTTTTCACGTCATTCAGTGTTTTTAATATAGATCAATAGAGTCTACTGCTTCACAGCATATTTCCATGATGGGACAAGGCTTTCCTTATTCATATTTATATTTGATTATTGATTCCTTTTATAATTTTAATACATCTAATAAAATAAATCAATAACAATGAAATAACAGTAAAATCAAGACCATGAAGACAAAAACTAAGATTATGAACTTTACATAGATTTAACATCGTCTAAGGATCATTTCCAATAGAGTCAGTAGGTGAGATTTTCTTTTGTTTGGGACCTCTCAGTTTCAAACACATGTTATTCATCATTTGGGATTTACTAATGATGGTGACCGGTCATCAATATTGGTCCACACTTTGGGCCTCATGCAGTTTTATATAATTGCATACTTATCATTCAGTCAAGGTTGGCTTTCTTGGAGTATACTGAGCCCACCTTATTAATACATGTAATATCCTCTATGATCATAAGATCATTAACATTGAAGATTGGTCCTCTTCTTCTCATTGATTTCTACATTTGTCTATTGATTAATTCATCATTTCACGTTGGTCTCTATGCTCACAGCACATAGACATAATCATAGAGCTCATCACTCTACAGAAGAGTGCTTAAATCAGTTTGGGAACAGGCATTAGGAATCTTTGTCACAACCCTTACAGACAGCCATCGAGCTCGTGGTCATGGCACAGTGCTCACAACAGATTGGGGCATATATTCTCAGCTTACTCCATACCCACATAAGTAACCCCCCAAACAATCATCAGTGGAAAGTGATTAAATAAGCCCTGATATGCATACGTAATTAGGTTTCTATATATATTTTTCAAAAAGATGATAACCAAGATCTTTCTCACTAGAGAATGATTTCATTATTGTGCATCCACTCATGGCGATGATGAACAGGGATCATTTTGCAATGGACTTCAGAGTTACAGAAGTTTGATTTTATTTAAGTAAAAAAATAAATGCTCTTAGGCTGAGAATTGTCTTCATTTAATATAACATCCTTTGACCTAAAAGAGAAACTAATTAAAAGAGCACTTAGGTACAGTTAGGGTTCATTATTTTGCATGAGATACAAACCAGAATTTCCTGCATTGGGCTGAGAGCTAGGGAGGTTAAGAACACCCAGGAAAATCCCCACAATCGTGGGGAGGATGAGGCCGGGCAGGCAAATAGACATTTCTAGGAAATATGAATGGCTGAGAGATTCCCAAGGACAGGATGTCAATTTTAGCTTGTCTGAAATGTTGAGATGTAATGTAATCATGCCCTGGCCCCATGCAGTCTGCAGTCCGCTACGCATGCTCACACTCAACTTCTGCAGACGTCCCAAAAACGATGCCGTGTAGGAGGAAATGGTGCTCAGAGAGGATGGAACACCCAGAAGGCAGCAAGAATTCAGAGAAAGCAGAAACCCTGAGGCCACAGGCGACTCAGAAAAACCTAACCTCCCCACCCCAAGAATCCTCTGAAATACTGGGGAGAAAACTGGCTACCCCAACATTTATGCAATGACATGGGTTTTTCTTAAATCTTAAACAAGAGATGACCCCCAGTAAATTGGAAAATATACAGACATCCAAGACACTGAGATAGGAGTAATAAGAAGTACTGTATTTTAAAAGCACTCTGGGAGGCTGAGGTGGGTGGATTACTAGAACACAGGCGTTCAAGACCAGCCTGAGCAAGTGTGAGACCCTATCTCTAAAAAAACAAAATAAATAGCCAGGGATCATGGTGGGAGCCTGTAGTCCTCCCAGCTACCAGGGAGGCTGAAACAAGAGAATCACTTGAGCCTAAGAGTTTGAGGTTGTTGTGGGCTATAATGATGCCACTGCCCGCAACTAAGGAAGATAAAGTGAGACTCTGTCTCAAAAAAAGGGGGGGGGGCCTACCAAAGATCTAAACATAAAAGCTAAAACTACAAAACTCTCCAAAGAAAATGCAGGGACTTCATGTTATTATATGTGGCAAGGACTTCTTGGATATGATATCAAAAGCATAAGAAGCAGGGCAGTGCCTGTGGCTCAGTGGGTAGGGCGCTGGCCCCATGTGCCGAGGGTGGCGAGTTGGAACCCATCCCTGGCCAAACTGCCACAAAAAATAGCCGGGCACTGTGTGGGGAACCTGTAGTCCCACCTACTCAGGAGGCTGCCTAAGTAGAGAGAATTGCCTAAGTAGAGAGAATTGCCTAAGCCCAGGAGTTGCAGATTGCTGTGAGCTGTGACATGAGGGCACTCTACCAAGGGTGACAAAGTGAGACTCTGTCTCTTAAAAAAAAGCATAGGAAGTAAAAGTAAATTGGGCTTCATTAAAATTAAAAACTGCATCTTATAAGACACAATCAGGAGCCTAAAAAGGCAATCTTGGAATGGCAGAAAATACCTAGCAAATCATATATCTGAGCTCAGGAGTTCAATACCAGTCTGAGCAAGAGTGAGACCCTGTCTCTACCAAAACCAGAAAAAGAACTAGCCAGGCATTGTGGCAGGTGCCTGTAGTCCCAGCTACTTGGGAGGGTGAGGCGAGAGGATCGCTTAAGCACCAGAGTTTGAGGTTGCTGTGAGCTGTGATGCCACAGCATGCTATTGAAGGTGACAGAGTGAGTCTGTCCCCCCTCCCCCCCAAAAGTAATGTTAGAAATATAAAAGGGAAATAAAATACTGAGTACAACATTAATGTTAATACTCTGTTGGGTGCTTTAGGGAAATGCAGGGCAATCTGCAAACACGTCATGGGGAAGAATGTCCAATCCCTTATTTTAGATTATACATATAAAGTAAAAATGTAATTGTATATAGAAACCAAAAAGTATCCCACACTCACCAACTGAACGTCAGGGTCAACGTGTTGCTGTATCGCTCTAAGAAAGGCAGCTGAATTTTCTTGTACTCTTATGCTACATAAAAAGATTAATTTTGAAGCCATATAATTCCTTCTTAGTAGCATACAGTGCTATGGCACCAGAAATAGTACAAATACATTTTCATAACAACTAAGAATTTTAGGGAAGAAATTATGGAAAGATTAAAAACTTTCTGAGTCTAAACTTGTTTCTCTCATTACAAGATAAGCCAAAAACATTTAATAACCATTTTTATAGCATAAAAATAGTTTGGCGGAAAATGACATGTTCTCACAGTTGTGCAGAACCCTTATAATTAATAATCCTGGTTCAAAATGGGGTTGAAAATGAGCTTCTGAAATCAAGTCTCCTGTCAAGTGTCTGAGAAAGGGTTCAAGCTACACCAGCATTTAGATGTCTGCAACACTAAACCTCCACAGGAATTTTAGAATAGGTGTTTCAGAAAATATCAGGTTAGTGAATCATCAAGATATTTAGCCAGTCTGCATGATTCAGACAAAAATATTTTTTCTCCCTAGTGGCAGCTTGTATGGAGCCTGGAATATTTGAGCCTTACTCAATCAATCATCCATCAAGTATGTACCAAATGTGTGTTCTGTACTTACATTATGTTGGGGGTTGGAGGATCTGAAGCAATCCCCCCACACAGGAGTTTATAAGTCTAGTTTCTTTATGTAGAATCAGCCTCTTTTACACATATATGATTTAACTGTCCCATTCCCAGCAGCCTTTGAAACCTTGCCCAGCAGGTGGCAGAACCACTAACCCCTGGCAGCTGATTCCAAATGAGCTACATGCAAAGCCAGCAGCCCTGTCTGAACAACTGAACGGTTCTGACTTTTCTAATTCTTCCTGCACTCCGACTTAGCCACCCTTTCTGTCCATTCCTTCTAAAATCATCAGGCACGTGCTTTAGATATGAGCAGCTATGCACATAAATCTAACAGGTAAACAGATACTTCATGGGCAAGAAAAAGGATAGAATAAAATATAAGGTTTCAAACAAAACAGGCTAAGGATAGAACCCAGCCACAGGCCTGTTCAGAGAATTCATGTGAAAAAGAGCTTATGACGCCAGCCCAGGGTCTGTGGACTGTGGCTTCTTTGATAATCTTTCCTGCTTTATTAGTTTATGGGTTAAGAGAAATTAGAGCAGGTGAAACTCAAACCAGGTGATTTGTTAACAGATTTGATAAGAGGAGAATTCTAAACAATGATGTCAATTGAGACAGAGAATAACTACGGTTTTCAACAATCCTTGTGCTGCTGATGTAATTAATTAGTAACTACATGTTTAAAGAGTAACTTTCCACCTTGCCAATTAGGACATTTGCACCTCAAGTATAACAAAGAAAAAGGAGTATCTGTCGCTCTTTTCTAAGCTTATCAGGTTAAATACGATGAGCTTTTTCTTGAGTGTATCTCGTACTAAAGTGAAAGCAACTTATCTTTCTCATCTCCATCAAATGGGATAGTATCTATCACACAGTGATAATAAATATTCTAAGAATAAATAAATAATCTTATGCTACAATAATAGAATCAGATTATTTACATCTACTTTTACGTTTAAGTCTAAAGCATAAACCTATTAAATAAGTCAGGTCATGCAACTTTTGTTAATATCTTGTTTGATGTTAAGTAAATAACTGATATGAAAAACTGATAAGATTCATATCTTATACATACTTATACATACTGATATCAAAGAAGAAAAAAAGTTGAGAAGGCAATAATAAACTTATTAAGGGTTTATACCCCAATTAGCTCTCAAACAATTTCCGGGGCAAGAGACTATCACCTACGAACTTTGGAAACAAGGTCAGAGAAAGATCAACAGAAAATATATTTTAACTTTTAGAAATTCAGTCATTAAAATATCTATTTACTTATGACTATTTTCTTGGTACTTCATATTGGGAAACTTTGCCGACATAAAGAAGCTTTTGTAGCTATATCAGCCATTATTTCTTATCTTGTAACTAAACCAAATAAATACATGAAAAAAATTCAGTGCATTCTCACATTTTGGGGTAGTCCACATTAAATCCCATGATGTTTCCCACTTTTCTCAAGCAGTTCAGGAAGCTCTCAGTCATATTTTCTGTTCTGTTACTACATAATATCAACCATGTATTTAATGACTGTGCATTTAAAATCTTGCAAGTTCGAATATCCTTGGACCAATCAGCAGAAGACACAGGTTGACACTGAGAAAAATAATGATCATAAACAGATTGAACAGATTTATTCAGAGAGCCACTAAATAAAGACAGTTTGAAGATGGCCAACATTTGTCCTAACGGAACTGTTTAATATAGTTTGCTATTCAAAATATTAAAACACAGATCCACAAATCCAGGTGCATGCCATAAAGGGTTCTATCTTGAGCCAAAGTTCATTCCTACCCATTATAGCAAGTATGAGGACAGCCACAGCCCTCCTGCCCACAACACTTCCACCTGCTGTCCTCTTACAGGGACTGGGGGGTGGGATGCAGGAGAGACCCAGGACAGTGCGCCCAGGCACCCCCTGAGGCTATGAACCTTTCGTTTACTTAGGGCCTCAGAGCCACCTAACTTCAGAAAAGCAGGATTGACCAAGAAGTCGATGATAGTCCCTCTAGCCATCCGCTACCTCTAGAGGCCAGGGTCTCTTGATTTTATGCCTTTCTCCTATAGATACTAGTTTACACACAAAAAAAAAAAAATAAATAAATAAATGCAAATAAATAAATAAGAATTAAAGCTCTGGTAAATGTGATTTTACTTATACCGATGAGCTGAATCATTTTAAGTCCTTCTTCATATGTGGATCTCAAATTGAGCTTTTCTTTACTGACTCCTGCCCAAGATACTTGTAGGTCTAAATCTTAGTATTTTACAAAGTTTTGTTTCAAAAAATAGTTTTTACTCAGCTCCACAAAAAAAAAAAAAAGGTTTTGGTAATTTAGACAGATTTTGTTAAAACGACACGATGAAATAAAAATTCTCATTCTTCCAACACGACACATTTGTTGTTCAATTATATTAGTTTAAACAAGTCAGTTTATAATGCCAAATAAAAGCAAGAAGAGGGACTTTAAAAAATAAAATGAAATGTAACTGACTTTTAAAGTGGGAAAAACAAAGGGGAAAATCAAAAATATAATGAGTATTTTTTTTAAAAAAAAGAGGCTTATTTTTTCGACTAAAGGGCAGAAGTGGCCTGGAGGATCTTCCCCGGGTCTCAGGCTGCCTCTCTCCCTTCCGGGTATTATGTCTGGGGCTGGGTGTGTACGAATTTCTTCATTTTTATGCCAGTTTGAGCAGCATTACTTTGAAAGGTGAACAGACACAATGGATATGGCAACTAAAAACCAGTTCTGGTGTCAGGAAACATAGCCTACTAAAATTAATAGTCACCAGATTTTTCGCAGGTAACTATGGCTTTTTCTTTTTTTAATTTGAAGTCACATAAGAATAGTACAACACCCCGGAAAAGGTAGGTATGTTTTAATTGTGATGGTTTGAAATACTGTTTTCTAACTAACATATATCATGTCTTCTGGGTGCCACTAAGTCCACACAATTAAACTCAGATCAAAAGGAAACCAGAAGGTAACTAAAATCTTAGGACAAAGCGAGGGCAGGATTTGGCTATGAAGACACCAAACAAATAGTGGGTAAGCCACTAGTCACTTTGGCAAACGATCAAACTTACAAATATTCAAGTAAATCTTTATGAATGAAAAAAGAATCACAGCACTTACTATGTGGTCTCGCATCAATATTTTTTCTGAAGGCACAACTCGGCCAGTCACAGACATCTGACTTCCAAAATGCAGTCCCCAGGTCTCTAGCTCAAAACGAGCATCCTTGTTTCTGTTGACAGAGTTTAAAATCATTAAGTGCTTATTTTAATCATTAGAGATATAAATTATAACTTGCTGAATTACCCAGGGGCTGATTTGCAGTGCCTTTAGGATACTTTCCTGGCTTCTATTTCTACATACCATTTCTTTCCCCTGCTCAAAAGAATCACGGGACAACTTTGCCCATTTGGGATGAGCAGGGACAAGTGTGGGGCACACTGGTTAGAAAAATGAGCCTCCAAGCCAGACAGACCTTGGTTTAACTCCTGGCTCTAACGTTTAATATTATGTGACTTCAGGCAAACAATCACATCTTTTTAATGCTGTGGCTTCCTTACTGGAAAAATGCAAGGATAATAAAAGTAGCTGTTTTCATAGGGTTGATGTGAAGATTAAATGTGACAATACCGGGAAAGCGACCATAGCGTCTAGGACACGCTATGTGCTTAAAAATGTAAGATATTATCATTCCTGATAACAAACTTGTTAATGAAATATTTTGGAGCCAGTGGATGTGGAACTATCAGCATTTCTTGGTTTGGGAGTGGATGGAGGATGATAAGGGAAGGGAACATAAGAAATTAAACTTGAGAAGACTCCTAAAATACCCAGGGTGGTAGGGAGGCTATGAGGAGGATATCACTATTAGCGAAAGAAACAGTACTTTCTTTTTGTACAGTACTTCGAACTGATAAATAAGCTTCTAATCATGTTTGTATCTTATCTCATGGAAGATATATGACAACTTCCACTGAGCCATAAGCTCCTTGAGTGTGGTAACCACGAAGACTTTGTCTCTGGCCTCTAATACTCAGACTCAGCACACAGTAAGGCAGGCACTCACAGGACACTGAGGAAATCCACCCTTTTGTTTTTCTGTTAAAGCTCTGCCACTGGCTGGGCATGGTGGCTCATGCCTATAATCCTAGCATGTGGCGAGGCTGAGGTGGGAGGATTCCCTTGTGGCCAGGAGACCAGAAGTTTGAGATCAGCCCAAGCAACATAGCAAGATCCCATCTCTACAAATTAGCCAGGCACAGTGGCACACATTTGTAGTCTCAACTACTTGGGTGGTTGAGGGGAGGATCACTTGAGCCCAGGAGTTTGAGGTGGCAGTAAGCTATGACTGCATCATTGCTCTGTAGCCTTAGGGACAGAGCAAGACCCTGTCGCAAAAATAAATAAATAAAAGCTCCAGATCATTTTTTTGTTTTTTTAGACAGAGCCTCAAACTGTAGCCCTGGGTAGAGTGCCATGGTGTCACAGCTCACCCCAACTCCTGGGCTCAAGCAATTCTCCTGCCTCTGCCTCCCAAGTAGCTGGGACTACAGGAGCCTGCCACAATGCCCAGCTATTTTTTGGTTGCAGCCTGGGCTGCATTTGAACCCGCCAGCTCAGGTGTATGTGGCTGGCACCTCAGTCCCTTGAGCCACAGGCCCCAAGCCTCCAGCTCATTTTTTAAGGGACCTCAAACTCAAACTGTCAAGCCTCTTGACCACTGTCTTTCCATGTAGGTCACTGTTGCCATCTATTAAGGTTCTGTCTTGTCCAGTCACTAATCCTTTGAATTAGTTATTGTGCTTTGGATACACTCTGTCCAGGATGAGATGGGTGAGGACATCACTGGTCAAGGAGGTAAACAGCAGTACCCAAGGCAGCAGGCAGATGCACTGGGGAGACTAATCCATAGCCCATGAGAAGGGGAATTTACCAAGAGATTCTTCTCAAGTAAACATAAGTCCAGGGGACATCCAGAACAAATGACACAAAGTATATCTATGAAATGGAAGCTAAGAAACCACTAGCATGATAAAATAAATGCACATTTATCATGTGGAAATGTTTGAGAAAAAAACCTTTACGTGAAAAATTCAAATTACAAAACATGATGTATGGTACTGTGTCATTTTCCTAAACAGAGCAGGATTATATGCACTTGCAAATATCCGAAAGGATATTCCACCATCCATTCCATCTGATCCATTCATGTACCAGACAAATAGTTACCGAGTATATACACACAAATACTCTCTCTTTTTGCTTATGTAAATTTCCAAGTTCCTCCATGAGGCAGTATTACTTAAAAAAAACTTTTTTTTTTTTTTTTTTTGAGAAAGAGCCTCAAGCTGTCCCCCTGGGCAGAGTGCCATGGCATTACAGCTCACAGCAACCTCCAACTCCTGGGCTCAAGAGAGTCTCCTGCCTCCGCCTCCCAAGTAGCTGGGATCACAGGCGCCCGCCACAACACCCGGCTATTTTTTGGTTGCAGCCATCATTGTTGTTTGGCGGGTCCGAGCTGGGGATTCGAACCCACCACCTTAGGTGTACGTGGTTGGCGCCTTAGCCAGTTGAGCTATAGGCGCCGAGCCTAAAAAAAACTTTTCAAAGAAAACTAACCATTCTGTAACAATGCCGTTCAATAAAAATATAAAATGAGCCACCTACATAATTTAAAATTTTCTAGTAGCTGTCTTCAAAAAAGTAAAAAGTGATCTTCAAAATTTAACCCTTTATTTAATCCAATATATCCAAAAAATTATCATTTCAGGATGATCTTCTTTATTTAACCCAATATATCCAAAAAATTATCATTTCAGGATGTGTCATCAGACACTTGGAGGGCCCAGCAGCCACGTGGGCTACAATATCAGACAGTGCAGTTTCAGGAGGTCCCAAGGGAAACCAGAGAGCGACTCCATTTTCCCATCACAGGTCACAGAAACTGCTGTAACTGTGAGCAGGAACATAGTCTGAACCAGATGAACTAAACCAAAAGCCAAGAAAGGTTTCCTGAGTTTAAAGAATACATAGTGAGGTTTTCCTTACGCTCAGTCTGCTGAGGCCACTACATTAAGATATGAACTTTCTTGACCCTTAATAATGGGGGCCTGGTGTTTGCTCCTTTGGTCTTTATTGTTTTTGTTTTTTAGATTATAACCCTTTTCTTCATTCAGAATTTTATCTTCAATGCAGGAAACAATGAAAGCAGAGCTGTCTAGGTGAAGGGAGGTAGTCTTCCTCCCAACACGGCCCCTCCAGACTTCCCTGCCATCCTGCTAGTCCTGAGGCATCTCAGATGAAGCTCTGGGCTCTGGATACACAGTATTAAAGCTCCTTGCTCTGAACCACTAAGAACGAGACATTTCCATCAAGAAATGAAGTGTTGCACAGATCACCCAATCCTACAAGCTGGGTCCCAGGCAGGGTACACACAGTCTCAGCCAATCCTACAAGCTGGGTCCCAGGCAGGGTACACACAGTCTCAGCAAGGTGACCCAGTACCTCTGGATGTTGTCCACAAGCCTGGCCAGGCGCTGCTGCCGGCCCAAAGGACCGAGCCGCGTCTCCTCAGCCACAGTCTTCATCAGCTGAAAATCCGAGGTTGCCTGGTCAGTCAGCCCTATGGAATGCAAACGAAAACAAAGTGAAAAAATGAACATATGCAACCCCAGCTCATCTCAGGCACGGGTTAAACTTTCCCACTTGGCCTCAATCGGATTCACCGTACATAGCACTGACCAACAGAAATGAAAACACAGACAGCATTTTAAATTTTCCAGTAGCCCCATCAAGAAAAGCCAGAAGGAAAACAGATGAAGTTATTTTAAGTAGTGTATTTTATTTAACCCAATATATCTAACATGTTATTTCAAAGTGTAATCAACATAACATTTTACATCATTTTATTGATGTGATAGTTTCCTTTTTTCCCATGCTAAGCCTTTAAAGTCTGGTCTGCATTCTATGTTCACGGCACATCCCCTCACAGTCTTTCAATCAAGCAAGTCACATTTCAAGTGTTCAGCAAACTCCTGCGGCTACTAGCTGCCACACTGGGCTGTGCCTGTCTATAATATCTAAATACCACCGAGAATGCACCCCTCTCTCCCCAAGGATTATATCCTTATTAAGTTTTCTAAATGTAAAGCATATACATATCATATTTGACTCAGGCAGTACAGAAATATAAAAAGTAGAAAAGCCCTCCCTTCCTAGGTCCACCCTGTTAGTTAAATGAACATTTTAAAAGTACTCAAGGCAGTTATTCATATTCCACTGTATGGTGAGAATTCCTTCTGGAAGCTCATGCAAAAGGCAAGTCAGACTCATTCTGACATTACTCTAACACCATAACCAAAGAAAATCAAAGGCGCATCACTTTCTAAACTAATGAAGCTCAAAAAAATGACAAAGAGCGGCTCAATGACAGGAAAGCATCAGGGAGTCTATTTTACATCCAAGTAACAAAAGGAGATAAAGAAAACAAACCCCCAAGGTACTCTACCCCCCACTGTCTCTACTATTGATAATCACTTTCCAGGCCTGTCCTTCGTGGGTTGGGTTAATGCTCTGGCCCTAAGCTAACTTAGGAAGCGGCTGCTGTGACCTGGGATCCAGTCCCCGTGACCAGGAGCCTGCCGGGGTTCTAACACACACACACACACACACACACACACACACACACGTTACCTGTGAGAAAGCAGAGTTCAGGTACCAAGTGAACAAGCTGAGGTTCGCCATTGTTACTTCTCTTGCTCTTCAACAGACTAACAAGCATGGGCTGATTTAGGTCAGATAAAGTAAGATCATATTGCTATAAAATGCAAGATTAATGAGGAAAAAGTTAACGTGGAAAACACAGCGAGATGAGCATCTTTGCTTATAAACAAGGTAATCCCAAAGTGAACATATAAGCAAATCTTTTCAGCTGCGCAAGGGGAAAATTCCATGGCTGCCTACTCACTTCTACCTTCTTCCCAGAAGCTGTCCTTTATACACGAGAGCAGTTTTATTATTTTAATTATTTTCTCTTATAATGCAACACCATTAAAAAAAATTATTTCCCTGCTCTCTCTGGGTTTCTGCCAGATTCAGAATAGTCTCCAGTGGGTTCTGTACATCGTTCAGTGACCCTTCTGAGGCTGAGTCAAAGCCAGCATTTCCGCTCCTGAGGCGGACTGCCCCACACACAACTCGCTGGTTCTAAACATCTGTATTCATTCTGAAAATGTCTACATGCAAGCTGGAGGCATGGGTTTTGCTGAGTCAACCTCAAATAAGAGCAGGACTGTCCTTAACTGCCAGGATGTCATGGGGAAGCAGCTCTGAAGTCTGACAAAAGCGAATTTAGTCCCCAGCTCTTCCCCTTGCTGGGACTGTGACACTAGGGAGGTCACCTGCCTTTCCTCACCTATGAAATAAGGACACTGGGTAAACCACTAGCACGGTGTCCAGTCAGTAATGAGTCCTTGGCAAGTGTTAGTTTCTACCTGACTCCGTTTTCCCTTTCTAGACTCAAATCCCAATATTCTCACCATGCCAAATGTTGCAACAGCAAAGATCACAATTAACACTCATTTCCAGGATAATTCACTCAACATTAGTAACACGCAACTGGAAAAATACCATTATTTATGAAATGCCTGGGCAGTATGTGATGCTGACGACAGTGATTATAATGAAGGAAGTTAGATGTGTGCATTTCTTTTTTGTTGTTTGACAGAGTCTCACTATGTTGCCCTGGGGAGAGGGCCGTGGTGTCACAGCTCACAGCAACCTCAATCTCTTGGGTTCATGAGCTCCTGTTCCCTCAGCCTCCCCAATAGCTGGGACCACAGGCGTGTGCAACCAAATCCAGCTAGTCTTTTCTATTTTTCAGTAGAGACCGGGTTGTGCTCTTGCTCAGGTTGTTCTCCAACTCCAGAGCCCCAGCAGTCCTCCCACCCGCCTTGGCCTTGCAGAGTGCTCAGGATTACAGGCGTGAGTCGCCACAACAGGACAGCATTTCTCTATTTCAAAGAAGGACATTTACTCATGCAAATAAAAAACCGTTCAAAATCATTCTAGAGTAGCAAGTGTGACTAATACTATGGCTAGAAACCTTGGTGACGCCTTCTATCAAAAGGGGTATTTCCTGTGTGGCTTCATTAATTCAGTGCACCTGGTGGGCTTTCTCTGTTCCGGGAACTGCAGCAGATACAAGGATGAAAGAGGCACAGTCCCTGCCCTTCACGGAAACACATGTCTACAAAGATGGCAGATGAGAAGCACAATGATATGACAAGCGCTTATATTTTTCCTCATTTAATTTTAACAACAAAACTATGAAATAGACACTATTATCCCTCCTTGGATTAACACCTTCCCCAAAGCCCTGTAACTGGAAATTAGCTCACTCAGGATTTCTCTCTTCAGACTCTGCCTGTTACACAATTCAGTACAGGATCCCTGGGCTGGCAACATGGAGAGGACAAGAGGATAGAGAGGACAAGACAATGGCAGTAGAGAAACAGCGTATGGCTAGTAAATCAGGGACGGCTTCATGAAGGCGGAGGCCAGGAGAAAACCCTGCAGAAATGTGGGAGCATGCACCGAGGAAGGGTCTTCTATTTACTGGTACACGGCCAAGAATGCGACCTCCTAAGGCTCTGCCAGAAGGTGAGTTCGATCCTCTTCTTGCTGTTTTCTTAGCATTTAAAAATATGTTTCAGGGGCCTGACACAGTGGCTCATGCCTGTCATCCTAGCACTCTGGGAGGCCGAGGCAGGTGGATTGCCTGAGCTCACAGGTTCAAGACCAGACTGAGCCAGAGGGAGACTTTGTCTCTAAAATAGTTGGGCGTTGTGGCAGGCACCTGTAGTCCCAGTTACATGGGACACAGACAAGAGAACTGCCTGAGTCCAAGAGTTTGAAGTTGCTGTGAGCTATGACTACACAGCGCTCTACTGAGGGCAACAAAGTGAGACTCTGTCTCAAAAAAAAAAAAAGTTTCAGGATAAGATAAAATAGAGAAGTATAAAGGTCAAAAGCATGATGTCTTCCACTTTGAGGAAATGACTCATGGGACAGAAAGGACGGCACACTGGACAGTGACCAGTTTCTTTCTCTCCCTAATGGCAATGTACATATTCACAGTGAAGCACAACTCACTACAGAAAAGTGAGTGGGATTTTTACTATGATTCCCTTTTCAGAATGTTACAGGTCCTATAATACTTCTTTTCAATTAAAAACAAATTTAATCATTCAGGAAAGAAACAAAAATGTTTAACACATTCCCTGTGGGCTTAATACATAAACACAGAGCACGGTTTTCTGCAGAAGATGCTTCACTCAGTAACTATGTATCAAAGATTAACCAAACACCATCGCTGTTCTACAAAGGAAGATGTATTCTAGAAGCAATATGATCCGTGGCACAGGGGTCCAAAGAAGAGAACAGCTGGCTCTTCTGCATGTGTGACAGAAAGCAGAGTCAGAGAGGACTTCACAAGTCACCTTGAAGCAGGATGAAGGAGAAAGGTGTGATGTGGCTTCATGCGGTTGTCTCCCAACCATGCACAAATGCCAAGCACTTGTTAGTGACGAGTGAGCGGATGGCGGTGATGACAGCACAGAGTGCAGGGTGGGGGGGATGCTGAGGGCAGTGAGGCTGAAAGGGGATGGAGTCAAACTGTGACACTGGAGAGGAAGGAAGGGAGGACAGACGGGGGGAGGGTCTCCACTATTCACTCAGTGCTCACAATATGCCAGCCCCTGAGACACTCTCTGCGTGCAGACCACCTTGCCCAGTGCTCACACTGCACCTCAGAAGCAGAGAAAGCGGGCCGGGCACAGTGGCTCACCTGGGATCCTAGCACTCTGGGAGGCCAGTGTGGGTGGATCGCTTGAACTCAGGAGCTCAAGACCAGTCTGAGCAAGTGCGAGACCCCATCTCTACTAAAAATAGAAAACTAGTGAGGCGTCATGGTGGGTGCCTTTAGTCCCAGATCCTTGGGAGGCTGAGGCAAGAAGACTGCTTGAGCCCAAGAGTTTGAGGTTGCTGTAAGCTATGGTGTCATAGCACTCTACCCAGGGTGATAAATTGACTTGTTGTCTCAAAAAAAAAAAAAAAGAAAGAAAGAAAGAAAGAGCGGGAGAGAGAGAAATTCCCTTTGCAGATGACCCTTTAGGTCAGTGGTTTTCAACCTTCTTAATGCCGTGAACCTTTAATACAGTCCAAAGGGGTCATGACCACAGGTTGACAACCACTGCTTTAGGTTTAGTGATAACCTAAAGTTACACAGCTAGAGCCAGGACCCTTTTTATTTTTTGCAGTTTTGGCCGGGGCTGGGCTTGAACCCACCACCCCAGTATATGGGGCCGGCACCCTGCCACAAGTGCCACCCCTTACCATTTTTTTTTTTTTTTAGCAGACCGGATTCGAATCCACCAGCCCCAGAGCATGTGGCTGGCACCCTAACCACTGAGCTACAGGTGCCCAGCCAGATCCAGGACCATCTTATTCCAGGGCCTATGCTCTTGGGCACACATATGGGCAGCACTTCAGAAAAGTCTCTCTGGTGGCCATTAAGATGACAGATCACACTGAGGAAAGAGCCTAAGGTGTGAGTGCGGCACCTCCCCGAGGGGTCCCGGAGAGGTCCTGCAGTGGTGCAGCAGGAGCAGGGCCGGGAGGAGGGGGTTCCAGAGAGACGAGGACGAAGCACACACTGCTCATCTCAGTGACAGTGGAGAAGCGGAAGGGGTCAAACCGACTCCTAACTGAGCTGCGCATCCCCGAGGAGAAAAGAAACGGGAGGAGAAGGACCTCGGGCTGAGCCACACATCTGGGATGCCTGCAGGATAGTCACGCAAAGTTCTCACAATGGAGATGAAGACCGGATTTGGGAATGAGGTCAATGCAAAGACACTCTATTTGAGCATCCCAAAATACAAAGAAAGCATCTTTTTGTTAAAAAAGAAAAAAAGAAAGCGTTTTTGTTGGGGGAACCATTGTTGTGGGTTCCTTCTGTGGGGAAGCAAGAAGGAAACCACCAAAGGGGACTGAGCTAGAAGAACCTGAAAGCTGAGGGGAGAACCCCAGGGGGGTCAGGAGTCAAAGAAGGAGAAGATCTATTCCTTCATGGGGGAGGGGTCACAGGTATCAAAGGCCACTGAAAGCCCCTTAGGATAAGAACTGTAACTGAATTTGACCTTTATGGAACCATTTCTACAGCAGCAAACTGCCGCCTCCAAAGAACTGAAAAGGTTCTTGTAGCCAGGGTGGCTGACTTTCAAAAATCAAGGAAGTGTTCTTGTTTTTTATTTGTTGTTTTTAAAAACATCCATGAGATCTGGGGACCTGATTAAGACTGTACACTAAACTCTGAAAGGTGAGGGGCAGGGTAACCTGACGACTGCAAACAGAGCTTCCAGAGGCGGCAGGAGAGCCCGTCACTGAACCCTTCTTGATTATCCACCGTGTGCAGAGCACTGTGCTAGCCCTGGTGTCCAGAAATAAAAAGCTCAAGGTAACCCCCAGTGTCCAGGGTCCAGGATGGAGGTCGATCCATTCACATGGTGCCAGCAATGACTTGACGCAGCTAAGTTCAGGGCCCACTTGAGAGCTGATGGCCAGCTGGGCACAGCAGAGAGGTTAGCATGTGTCTGGCTTAGAAGGGAAGCAGGAAGAGGAAGCAACATGTGGGAAAATGCACAGGGAGAAACTGAGTCACAGAACCCCACAAGGCAAGTCCAGCCAAGCACAGGGGAGGAACAGGGGTGTGGCAACAGATGACAGATCACAAAGGCCACAGTAGTCTGAGGAGGTTATATGTGGCTCCTGAGGCAGCAGGAGCCATGGAAATTATTTAACCTTGGAAGTGACATGATAAAATGTGCTTTTAAGGGATAGGACTGAGATTACAGGAGGAAAGGGACAGAAAGCAAGAAGGGTCCCAGGAGATAGGGTCCCAGGGTGGTGGGGACAGAGAAAAGGAGACAGTGCAAGAATCAGGGCAGAGGCCGACTCAGCCCACCCACCTGGGGACCTTAGGAGTGGAAGAGAACAAGGAGCTGAGGACAGAGGCGGAAAGCATCCTACCTGCCTGTAGTAATCCACATACGTGATCTCAGTGCCATCCCGCTTCCGAAAGGTGTTCGTGGGCTTCACGGACCAGTCAATGTCATCAATACGGTAAGTTTTGTTATTGTATCTGGTAAATGCAAGAGTCTCTTTAATAATTATTTTATTTTATTTTATTTTATTTTGAGACAGAGCCTCAAGCTGTCCCCCTGGGTAGAGTGCTATTGCATCACAGCTCACAGCAACCTGTAACTCCTGGGCGCAAGTGAGTCTCCTGCCTCTGCCTCCCAAGTAGCTGGGACCACAGGCACCTGCCACAACACCCAGCTATTTTTTGGATGCAGCCGTCATTGTTGTTTGGCAGGCCCGGGATGGATTTGAACCAGCCACCTTAGGCGTATGTGGCTGGCGCCTTAGCCACTTGAGCCACAGGCACTGAGCCCAATAATAATTTTAAAAAACTTTCCAGATCATCAAGGAGGAACAGCTACTTCACCATACTTTTAATTCAAAATATAAGAAGGACTCCAAAATGTCAGAAATCACAAAAGATAATGAGACAAGAAAATTCTCTGTTTAAAAAACTGATCAATTCTTATCAGAGAAGAACATGACTTAATTCCTCAATATACAGGAGGACCTCTGTCAGCATTCCAACAAAACCTGCGGGAAGTCATCAGACCACAGTTTATTTTTGACAGATGCTCTAACTTTAGGTAAATCATTCTTTTTTTTTTCTTTTTTGAGACAGAGCCTCAAGCTGTCCCCCTGGATAGAGTGCTATGGCATCACAGCTCACAGCAACCTCCAACTCCTGGGCTCAAACGAGTCTCCTGCCTGCACCTCCCAAGTAGCTGGGACTACAGGCACCTGCCACAGCACCCGGCTATTTCTCAGTTGCAGCCGTCATTGTTGTTTGGCAGGCCTGGGCTGGATTCCAACCCGCCAGCTCAGGTGTATGTAGCTGGTGCCCCAGCCACTTGAGCCACAGGTGCTGAGCTGGTAAATCATTCTTAAATGTCCAAAGGCCAAAGCTTTGCCCGAAACTTCCTCATCAGCTTCCTCAGGCATCACTCAGATTCCTGAGCGCCCAGGTAGTCTTTCTGAGAAAACCACCAAAAGAAGTCTGATCTACCACAGCCTGCTTAAGTCCCAGGTAGGCTGGCCCCAGCAAAACCTCAGAACGTCTCAGCTGAGATTTCAAACTCCCTTCCCCTCCAACTGGGTGGCGTGGACTATCTTCACAGGCTGCCCCAGCACAGGGACAGAAAGCTCTGTGGTAGGCTTCACTAGAGCCTCTGGTCCCCTACAAGGTGATGTGAACAGCAGTAAGCTAAACCAGCAAGATCACAATAGGGGCATAAGAGGGGGACCTCTTTATCCCAGGTAGTGGGAATTCAGCCAGTCCACTCCACCTCTCTGTTATATAACCCTGAAAAATTAAGTGGAAATTCTAAGCCAGACTAGAAGGCTAACATGTATCCTTAAAGTATTCTCGGGACCAGGCAAGGTGGTCACACCTATAATCCTAGTATTCTGGGAGGCTGAAGTGGGTGGATGGCTTGAGCTCAAGAGTTTAAGATCAACCTAAGCAAGAGGGAGATCCCATCTCTACTAAAAATAGAAAAAACAAGCTGGATGTCATGGTGGGCACCTGTAGGCTCAGCTATTCCAGAGACTGAGGCAAGAGGATCGCTTGAGCCCAAGAATTCCAGGTTGCTGTGAGCTACAATGCCACAACACTCTACCCAGGGCAACTGAGAGAGACTCTGTCTTAAAAAATATATGTATTCTTGAACTAGCAGACGTCTTACTACTCAGGAAGTCCTGTGCTCTGCCCGCATTTAATCCAGTCCAACATGCATGGAGGTGAATTTATACAGACAAACCTAGAGGTCTGCAAAGAAGTAAAAATGGTCTCAGACCAGAAGAGTTCAGACTCTTAACAGAGGAGGTGGGACATGGATCTAACATCCTATAAGATAATACAATGAAATAAAACTGCCATACAGAGGTGGCTATGAACTAAAAGCAATGGAAGCAGCCCGCGGAGGGAACTGAATAATTCCAACTGGGTGGGGAATGGAGGCTTTGGAAAATGGGGACATTAGAGCTGAGCTTTGTGCAAGTCCAAATTTAAAAGGCAGAACTGGTGGTGGGGAATCTAGGCAATTGAATTGAACTAAACTAAAGTGGCAAAGGGCAGCTTGGGTGGGTAGACTAGAGAATAGGGGGAGAGGAGGGCACCCCAAGAGAGAATCTGGGACTGTGGCAGAATCTAGTGACTACAGTGGACCATCCAGCACACCACACAAGCACATCTCAACTCTAGACAACTGAGAACAGCCAGCCTTCTAACCAGAAGAGTAAGTGGATCAGCTCTCTGATCAAGCTAATGCTCCAACCTATTCCTGTTCACGAATGTCTTAAATAACTGATTCTCAGAGAAAAGGGTGCAGGCCTTTACCTTGTAAGCACAATGAGCCCTATCAGCTGTTTCTCACACATCTGGATGATGCAGGACGAGCCAGTTTTGTAGCAGAGAGCAGTCATGAATTCCAGAACAGTCTCATTCCGCAGGACTTTGTAACTCACATCAGCACTGAACAGGAGCCTACTTTCGAAGTGGCATACAGAAATGGCAAACCCAGGCCAAAGAGATAATCTTCAAAAACAAAACAAAAAAATAAAATTTTTAATGTTATACCAGCAAAATAGTCAAGATTTTAAATGGTGGTTTTTCATTCTAATTCTTTAGATCTTCTAAGATAATTTTTTTCTTTGCTCTGATTTCTTCCAGTAACCGGGTGTTGTGTCAGACACCTATAGTCCCAGCTACTCAGGAGGCTGAGGCAGGAGGATCGCTTGAGCCCAAGAGTTTGAGGTTGCTATGAGCTATGATGCCATGGCACTGTACTGAGGGCAACAAAAAAAAGCAAACTGTCTCAAAAAAACAACCATGAGATTAAGAAATACAGAAGTCATATCACGAACAGACACACAAGAGGAAGTGAAGTGTAGGCAGCAGCTCCTTCCTGCACAGACTAAAAAGTCTTGAACAGAAGTTACAGTAATAGCATGAGAGAATAAGCAAACAATTTTTAAAAATTACTGCAGTTTATAGTTTGTGGACTTAATTCACTGCAACACTAAACCAGCATTCAGGACAAGCACATGCACTGAGCACCAGCCGCACAGCCCCCGACCTCTGAGAATTTCTAAACCAGGGAGAGAAACAAGTGACAGGGACAAACAGGAGACTGAGAGCAGTGATGTCCAACTGGTGCGCCACAGCACGTAAAGATTATTAGATTATTTTTGAAAGAAGTTCAAAGCAGGGTAAGTATATTCTTTTTTCATTTTTGGGGGGGTCAATATAATTTAAGTGTGCCACAGAAGTTTAAGTACAGATTCAAGTTTGCCATGAGATAATAAAGGTTGAAAAACACTGCTTTAGAGAGACCAATCTGACACTCTGAAGGAACATACGGAAAACCCATTCTTTTTCCTCCTGGCAAAAGGTCAAACCCCCCACCTCTACTTTCCATCTCAGCCATGCTTTTCCCTTCATGTCTCTGTCTTTGGGATACTGGTCGCTTCTTTGTCTTTAGCTTGACCACAGTATTGTAAGACCCTAGTAACAAGCAGTTCAAGATACGGCTGACTTGACTCAGCAACCAAGCACAGTGGTTACGGTGCCAACCACACACACCCAAATTGGTGAGTTCGAACCCAGCCCAGGCCAGCTAAACAACAATGACAACTGGAACAGAAAACAGCTGGGCGTTGTGGTGGGCACCTGTAGTCCCAGCTACTTGGGAGGCTGAGGGAAGAGAATCGCCTAAGCTCAAGAGTCTGAGGTTGCTGTGATCTGTGACACCACGGCACTCTACTGAGAGCAACATAGTGGGAACTCTGTCTCAAAGAAAAGAAAAGAAAAGAAAAGATACAGCTGACCACTCAGGTGGGAATTCAGCAAGTGTGCACAACAGCTCTGTCCTTCAGTAGGCTAGTCTGGCTGGCTTCTCTGTCTGACCTTCGTTTACCCGATGATTTCACGTCAACCACACCTACTCTAACTTCCCTTCAACTAGAAAACAGAGCATCCACTATGTGGTACAGTTTGTTATGCTTCCATTATTACTTGTTACAGACAGAAAATTCAGTTTCTGAATTCCTTCCCAGATTTATGATAATGATCTAGCACACTAATATAAGAAAACAGGCTGCTAGCTTCATGTTCAAATTTACCACTCTATAAAAAAGAAACTTGATAATTAAAACAATCCATTACATTTTCATACCAGAGTCTCTCAGAAAAGGCATAATGGCACAATATTGTATCAGAAATTATGTTGCTCACATTATAACAATTTCAGAGTAAAAGAAAATATGAATAAACCTACTTGTGCTGGGGAATTTCCACTGGCTCTGAAGGATTATAGAAGTTTCGCCCGATTTGGTACATGGACAACTTTTTTAAGATCCTGCAAATATATAGTTTTTGAATTCTTGGTAAATATCAATCAAAAATGGTATAATTCTAAGTTTAGACCCTTGCTGAACATAATGATAAGAATATAGGGCTGCGCCTGTGGCTCAGTGAGTACGGTGGCGGCCCCATATACCGAGGGTGGTGGGTTCAAACCCAGCCCTGGCCAAACTGCAACAAAAAATAGTGTTGTGGCGGGTGCCTGTAGTCACAGCTACTAGGGAGGCTGAGGCAAGAGAATCACCTAAGCCCAGGAGTTGGAGGTTGCTGTGAGCTGTGTGACGCCACGGCACTCTACCAAGGGCGATAAAGTGAGACTCTGTCTCTAAAAAAAAA